TCCCCGCGATCGCTGGAGCACCGTGACCCGCTGATCTCTCAATGTAAGCAATAGCATGGTTTGCCTTGACTCCATCTGCTCAGAGCCATCTCCTCCGCTGGCACTGCTGGGGGAGAGCGTTTCTTCCCTGGGCCCTGGTAGACATGGAACGGGTGGGATAATGGTGAGCTACAGCTAGGCAATGGGGTTTTATTGCAGTGTAGACGTACCCTGAAGGGTCTGAGCCTGAGCCAAGCTGAGATCCAGGGTTCAAGCCTTATTGTTCTGCAGTGTAGACGCAGCCCCACTGGACTCATGCTCCGAGTCCTCCAAAAATAGAGTCGAACCTCAGAGTTACGAACGCCCCGGGAATGGAGGCGGTTCGTAACTCGGAACAAAACGTTACGATGGTTCTTTCAAAAGTTTTCAACTGAACCTTGACTTAATTCAGCTTTGAAACTTTACTACGCAGGAGAAAAATGCTGCTTTCCCTTTATCCTTTTTAGTCGTTTCCCTTTAGCACAGCCCTGTACTGTATTTGCTTTTTTTTATTTTGGTCTCTGCTGCTGTCTGATTGTGTACTTCTGGTTCCAAATGAGGTGTGTGGTTGACTGGTCAGTTCTTAACTCTGGTGTTTGTAACTCTGAGGTTTTGCTGTATCCTAGAGTCCCACAAGCTGACTTTCTTTGTCCTCTGGGCAGTCAAGTTTTCCCACACTGCATCACGAACAACTGGCTCGAGCGGGCACATTTTGGGAGGGCGCTAGGCAGTCTGGGATACAGCTGGTTGGACTCATGCCTGCATAATGCAGTGTAGATGCTGGAACCCCAATTTGGGAGCCAGGGTTCAACAATTCCTAACGTGGGGTTACAAATGAGTGTAGACGCTCAAGTCCTAGGTTAACAAACCCAGGGCCTGTTAACTCAAGTTCTACTAACCCAGGGCTTCCAATGCAGTGTAGACAGACCCTGAGTGTCTGAGCTGGGCCACCACTAGGTTCTAAAGTCAAGTCAGCTGCAGGGATCATTGTGTTCCCAGCTCATCCAAGACTGACCCCTCCAGACAAGGGGTTTTGTTCCTCTTCTGCTTTACCCGAGGCCTCCTTATCCACGGTGTGACAGCATGTGGTTTTCCGTATTCCGCATACGACGGACAGCATGTGACTAAAAACAAGATCAAACCCAGCCCGCTGTCTTTAGAACCAGGGCTGTGGGCCTGCAGCTGTAGCCAGGTGTGCTCTGCTCCCTAAAGCACAGTCGGAGTTGGTGGGTACTTTGAGAGGTGGTCTTTCCAGGAGCACTGGCAGGAGGCGCTGAGCCAGTGCCCCGGGATGGTGTTTGTGAAGTGGCTGCTGCCCTTTGGAGGAGCAATGAAATTCTGGTCCTGACCTCTGGTGTTTACCACTTTTTGTTCAGGCTGAGGTTGCTAGGTCCTCGATGAATTCTAAGTGGGTTAATTACGCCTTTGCGTCATTGAGAGGGAGTCCGGTCTGGTGGCGAGAGCAGGGGATGGCCGGGTCTGATCCTGACTCTGCCGATGAAAATATTATTTATTGTATTACTGTAGCACCTAGAGGAGCCCTAATCAGGCCCCACAACCCCGTTGTGCCAGGCGGTGCCCAGACACAGAACAAAAAGACCCTCTGTGCCCCAGAGAGTTCACAGTCTAAGACAAGAGGCAACAGAGGGATCCAGACAGACGGGGTAGCACAAGGAAACAATGAGACAGGGTTGGTCACGATGGGCAGTGTCTCAGCACATCAGCAGCCTGAACATTGTAAAGTTTTTTGTAGGCATCTCAGTCGAGGAGAGATTTATGGAGGGATTTAGAATCATAGAATCTCAGGGTTGGAAGGGACCTCAGG